TTGGAAGACATTCTGAAAACCATACATAATTGATCAACTTCAAAACTGATGCCAGCTGGTCGTCATTTAGGAACTTAAAAACATGTAGTGTATCTTGTCAGGTCCAATAGAGGTATTTCCACAATGAGAAATAGACCATTTCAACTCGTCCAAAGCGAACACATCATTGTAACATTCGTTGTTGTCGCTAGCGAACGACGGAAGCTGTTCGAACAAAATACTCTCTCTTTCCCTAAACGCAGCTCTATAATTAATGGACGCCGACATCCCCGAGAAGAAATTCCCGAGTACGTCAGCAACTTCTTTGGGATCGTCTGTCATGTTGCCATTGATACACAGCACGGGTAATGGACGCTGGTAACGCTCCTTCTTTGTAAAACGCCGTATTATGTCCCATAGTTGTCGCATGGGGGTAGTATGTTTAAACATATGGAGCAATTTCTCCCATGATTCCCGTTTCGCCTGTCTAATAATTCGCCTTGCCCTTGCTTTAGCAGCTTTATACTCCATGAGGTGTAACGTTTGGCGGCTACGACGGAACCGGTTGAGTGCTCGTCGTCGACTACGAATTGCTTCTTTACATTCCTCGTTCCACCAGGGACATGTATATTTTGAGTTGTTTCGTTTCATAGGTACACTTTCCTCCGCCGCCCTTAGTAAAGCTTCGGTCATAGCTGTACAATTATCCAATCCCAATCCTTCACAAAATTGTAAGTCACACTTCTCAGTAAATTCAGACCAGTTGGCCTTGTTTGTGTTCCATCCCGTGAAATCGGCGTTCCGACGGGGGTTAGATCCAGTCAAATCAAAAGTTATGTATATAGGGCAATGGTCACTCGAATAAAGATCAGTATCGGTGCACCATTGCAAGTACTGACCTATATTACCAGTGCTCAATGTCAAGTCAATATGGGACCAGAGCCCCGTGTATTCATCAAGTCGTGTCGGGCTGCCATCATTCAGAATATTCAGGGCGTGTTGGCAAATAACTCGTTCCCATATAAATCCTCTGGAGTCGCAACGATCTGCGCCCCACATGTAATGCCGGCTGTTAGCGTCCGTACATATAATAAAAGGTTGCGGCAGCTGACTCACCAGAGCACTGAGAGCCTGCTGCGAAAGACGCTCGTTCGGCGGAAGGTACAGCGAACAAACACACAGCCGACATCTGCCAGTTGGTACTGTTATCGCAACAGCTTGTAAATCAGTATTCAAATTTATCTGACAGTGGGGGTGTTTGTTGTTAACATAGATACTAACTCCTCCCTGTCTCCTGTCTGTATTGGGATATGCGTTATATAGAGTGTAATTATTAAGTCGAAAATCATAAGGGTCATTGGGCAGAAAATGGGATTCTTGAATACAAATCACATCATTGCAATGTTCCAGTAGTACAGGTTTAATCTCCGGCCATTTTCCAATCATTCCACGAGCATTCCATTGCATGATGGTAAAACTTCTCACACTATTAACCATAACGCTGTTTCTAACTAACGAGACGATGGAAAAGTACCCAGCACGGTCAAGGTCACCTTTGCTCTCAGTCTCGGCCCCGAGGTCGGGCTCATGCCGCGCCCCAGGACCGGGCCCACGCCGCGCCCCGGGGCCGGCCGACCGACCTCGCGATAACATCGGGTCACGTGACCCATCCCACTGCCCCGGGCGCCGCACACTGGTCGGAAACGCTCCAGCGAGAGGCCAGCGGCCTTTCCGCAAAAGTTTTTTGCTTGTTATTCCAAAACTAGTGAAGCAAACTTCATAAAACTTTGCATACCTTCTCTGTCATATGTAAGCTATCATTTGGATGTCAAGTACTAAATATATGACGTGAATCTGTTAAGTTATGACGTCATAATTGAGTATAATACAGGATCTAGCACCACTTTAAGTCAACAAGGGAAATTGGGAGCTGCTATTCGGGCACCGGGAATGGTTTCATGCACTCCTTGCAAGGTCCAGTGCTTCACTTTAGCATTGTTGACTTTGCGTGACGTCATTTATGACGTCACTAAGGCCATATAAGTTTTTCGTCAATAACTCCTGATCAGATGGAGCTAGAGAGTCGGGAAAGCCACCATTGGACTCAGGAAGACCTGCCGAATCGAATGATATGCGATATGACCTCCTTCAACCATTTTCGTGACCTGAGGGGCTCCGACCTGACCTTGACCCGAGGTTAACACCTTAAGTTGACTTCACCCGAACACCAAGTATAGCATTCAACGCGCCTGAGCTAGACAGACACGATGATGCCAAAATCGCGGCAGTGCGACCATTTTTGGCAAAGAAATTAACCTAAATCCGAGCCCGTGCCTTGTGGCACTTACCTGACCTAAGAGGTCACTGGCTGACCTAAGACCTTAAAATCGGTTAGTAATCGTGCGTCTTATAACGGCACACACGCTCGTTTTTTTTCCGCGAGGCTCAAGCTCAATTAGAGGCGAAACGGCGAGGGAGTTGTACCAACCCTCCCCGGTCCATATAGAAAACCAATCGGTCCGGCCAGGGTTAAATACCGGAATTGTGATCTAATGTAAAAAGACGGCCCAAGGTAACCCGACGTCAGTGACAGGTGTCCTATATTTGCAGCGTCTTATATTCACGAAGGTTTCAATTTCCACTTTCTTCAGCCGAGTGATGGTTGTCAATAGCAAGGCTCTCTAAATGCAAGCCGTAATCGTCACGCAATATGTGGAAGGCTTTTGATGTCAATACATACATAAATGCATACATAAAACGCGCTTTTCACCAAATTCATAAACTCAAGCGCATCTGTTTTTAATGACCAGTCAACTACGCATGGATGCGTGCAGGCCCACACAGGTCAGCGTAAGCCGGGCGCGGCGGCCGAGCCGAAACTGGGGCGGGGCGGGCGGTAGTTGGGTAGGAAAAGCGGCTCCTGCAAATTTTGCGCAAATATGCGCAGTTAGCTTTTATGTTGCCCTGGTGTAAATTTAAATCCTGCTTCATCTCACAAAAAATCAGAGTGGAACTAGATGGGACTACCTGTTGTTTCCTTACCTAAACTTTGCAGTTATATTCCATAATCACTGTAGGAGAGCCTTCATAAAAAAGCTACAGTAAATCTTAGGTAGGGAAAAAGTATACCAAAAATTTTGCACTGACCAGTCGGCAACTTCATAACGAACATTTTGATGCATAATATGTGGGATTTCAATTTGGTGTCAATCAGCAATAAGACTCTGAATATCCGGCTCAAGAAACCTCTTGCTCCGCGTCAGTTTCCGAGTTCTGGGATACCCCATCTTCGGGGGCTGATTACAGTTATTTTTGGTCACCCGGATTAGTTTTTTTGGCCTAATTATAATAATTTGATCAATTTCAAATCGATCTATATAAAAAATAATCCGAAACTCCGGAATCGCCCGTGGCCTCTCGTGAGGGCGTTTCCGACCAGTGTGCGCCGGTCGAACCGTCCCGGCTCCGACAAAACACGCCCGTTTCGTCAGCCCCGCCGCCGAACCGACCCAAAAAAGGATCGCCCGGCAAGCTAGCAACCACCACCACAAAACCAAATATAACACATGAGACACTCAAACCCTGCACCAGATGCAAATCAGAATAAGGAAAAAAATTATATATAATCTGGATTCCAACTATAACCTGCAACCAACGCAGGTAACTGAAATTACTGTAAGTAATTGTTCGATATTTGCCGGAAAAAAACACAAACACAGAAATGATTCTTTTGCTGGTTATTGTCTAAGAGTTGGGGGATAGGGATTGTCTTGCCAACACTGTTTGGACGAAGGAAGTCGCGAGGCACTTTGGGCCCGCTGCATTGGTTTGAGCCGACCACGTCCACCTCGCCCTGGGGCTCGAGTGAATCGAGTCAGCTCGGGAGACGGTGAAATCTCATCATCCCCATTCAGTGCTGGAAGGACAGGCATGTTGCCTACCTTCTTTCCCTTGCCCTTCCCCACAGTTTGCCACTTCCCACTCTCCTTGTCAAATCCAGTCACTGGCCTTTCAGCTGAGTCAGCATCACCAAGTTTTTGAACCTCCATAGAGTCACTCTCTGTCTCTACACATGAGATCTCACCACTACTCTCTACACCCTGTGCACCACTGTCAGTGATACAAGCAGGTTCTGTTTCATTGTCTGTACATTTGTGATCCAATTGTTTGCCCAGAACCTGCTTGAGCAAGCCCACCAGCTCTGTCACTGCATTTTCAAGCTTCCCCACCCTGGTTTTCAGTTCCTCCTCCTGTGGGGATGAGCCCTGTGGTACCTTAAGGACCTCAGCATATGCTTTTGGACTCTGTTTCTGTGCTTGATCCTCAAATTTTTTCCTCGCCTCCCCAAAGGATATGTCTTGTTCTACCTTCATTCTACATATTGCCCTCTCTTTGACCCATATCTCACACCTCCTATCCTGACAGGAGTGGCCACTCTTTCCACAGTTGATACACTTTGGAGTGCACTCTCCCTCATGACTCGGTTCCCCACAAACAAGACACACACGATCGTCCTTGCATGACATTTCAGAATGGCCAAATTTACCACATTTGTAACACATCATCGGGTTTGGGATGTACTGGTCAACTTTGTAGGTGACATAGTCCAGAGAAATCCTAGAAGGGCAGATGGGGGTATCAAATGTTAGAAGGAGTGTTGCTGTCCTTTCAATGCGCCCATTGACCTTCCTTGTGAACCTTTTGACCTTTGTGACACCAAACTCTTTCAACCACCCTGCTACTTCCTCCTCAGACAGTTCGATCAGGTCATGGGCCCGCACGATACCTCGGGAGGTGTTGAGCCGTTCATCCCTGATCACCTGACACTCCTCACCTGCAAACATTTGAACTTTCAGAATCTTTGAGGTCTGAGACTCATTTTTTGTTCTCATCAACAGCCCACCATCAGCCAAGAGGCTAGCTTTAGCCAACCTATCATCAGGTCCCAGTATCCCTCGGATTCCGAGCTGAACCCAGGGCCATCCCTTTGATTTAAATGAAACATCAGATAACAACTTTACCTTCAAGAAAGAGCCTGTGTTGTTAGACTCTCCTCCGCCAAAGAAAAACTCGTCAGGTCGCACCCGCTTGACGGGCCGCCTTCGATCCATCACTTCATCACCTCTAACCACAAAGAGCTTGCCTTGCAACCGAAAAGGAAAATATAAACCAATGAACCAAAACTCCAAAACCCTCAGTAACGCGCGAGAGATCGCAGCTAAACTCGAGAGCTCCTTCCCCGCCGACGTCCCGCACACGAATGAAATATGGACAAATGATTTGAACTAACACCTCTCATCGTCGAACCAATGAAATTCATTGTGAACATCTGAATGCAGTCTGACTGAAACACTCTTTGAAATGTAAGTTAATGCCACGGTTCCAGGTCATTACGGTATTGCAGGAAATGAACGTGCGGATGTCCTCGGTGGTCCTCGCAAAGGAGGCTGCAATGCGACCTGATCCAGTTGTGGAACCTATGGCCCAAGGGGACGCTATCCATATGATAAAAATCAAATTCGCCGAGTACCTTCAACGCAAATGGGACCAACATCATGCTGCACATATGTATGCGATCAAACGAGAACTTAGAACATGGGTCACATGTAACCAACCAGACAGGATACGCGAGGTCAGGTGACCCCGGCCAGATTGAGGTGTGGTCATACCCGCCTCACACATGGCCACCTTTTTGATAGGACGGACCCTCCGATTTGCCACACCTGTGACACACGCATCTCCGTAGAGCACATTTTGATCGCATGCACGGCATTGCATCACGAACGAAGACACATCACTAACTATCTTGCGGTACAACACCTTAAAAACGACCTCCCGACCCTTCTCGGAGACGACACAACATTGACAAACCTGGTACTTGATTTCGTCCTAACATCACCCTACTCAGAGCTACTTTAACGGCCTTGACTTTGAGTTAGCAGGCACCCGTCTCGCTACCACCAGGCTGACTTGTGATACGGGATGGCCGATGGGTCGAGTTTTTTCGCTGGTACCGAAACACAGAGCTTCGATGGCAGACGGGTTTTCTCCAGCCGCGGGAGCAGGCTTAGAGGCTCAGCGGCCCAGCGAGCTACACCAGCGGACCCCGGCCGCTGAACAGCGGCGGCGGCCGGGTTGAACGACCACAGACAACCGTCGGCCGCCAACTGCAGCAGCGACAAATTCCCTATCCTCCAAACCATTCCTTTCATCGTGACGCTTAAACATTCACAAACCTCATCCCTCCCAGCGACCTATCCCCCACTCTTCAAACCATTCCTGTCATCCAACTCTCGTCGTAACCTTACCATTCACAAACTTCCTCCTTCCCTCCTTTCACAAACATCAATTTACCGGTAAGTTTCACTGTCATTTATGCGTCAAGAGGAAGAAGAAGAAGAGATTTATGCTTCGTAAATTCATGGGTTTTTCCCCATATTCATGGCATAGTACATGGATATGGGTTTTCCCATGTTGTCTTGCTGTAAAAGTGGCCACCGGTCTTAGTTAGGACGGCCGGTTTGTTTTGCGCGGCGTAGTTAGGTCGCCGCCCTCCTCGCGAGGCCGGTAACGTAAGTTAGGGCCACTAAAAAAAAAAAATCTTAAAATCAGGTACCTACCAGTAAACGACGCAGACGGCATGAGCAAGGGAAGTGTAAAAGTAAACAAAGTAACGTTCTTTGAATTCTGATTTATTGAAGTTCCAAGCGTTCCAAGTACCTAATCTACGTTAACATTAACAATTCTGAACCCTTTTATCATCATAGATCATACATATATTCAAACCGCTTGCTGCTGCACCATTACGAATTAAAATAAAGTATGCGCTAGGCGTGCATGCCTTGCTCAGACGCACGTTTTCTGAGCATCGTTCCATAGCTTTGGCCACTCGCACTGCATGCGTACGGCGATTCCATCTTGACAGTAGTAAAAGTAACGTGGGTCGGTCGGATCAGCGAACAAACCATTAGGCAGTGGGCAGACAAAATCGGGGCCAGGCGAGGGGGAAGTAGTCGGTTGTGGGGGCTGCGGCGTTGTGGTGCTAGGGTCCTCAGGAGATGTAGGCGGCGCTGTGGTAGCGCGAGGAGTAGTTGTAGGTGGCGCTGGTGAGGTGGAAGTCTGCTCTGGCGAGGTCCTCGGCGGCTCCGTGGTCGTGTCGGCCGGGGTGGTGGTGGGAGCGGGCCTAGAGGTCGCCTCAGTAGTGGTGCCCGCGGAGGACGTCGGAGCCAGCGTGGTCTCGTCTGTTGGAATACATTTGCACCCATTGGTCAGGGATCAGCCGCAGCCGCAACTCAATTTGACCCTCGAGTCTGTGAGTGTGGTCCATGTTGTGTGCTGACTGCTGTGTATAAACAGGAGCACCAGGAAAAGCGGTTTTCCATTGAATGAAGTTGAGAATGTCCCACAAGTCGAATTTAAAATATGAGGTAAGTAGACACGAGCCCACCTGATGCACGCCCCCTGTCCCCGACGCCCTCCCTCCCCGACGTCCGGGGCCGCACCAACCTGCCACGATGAGCCGGGCGTCTCGCGAGCTGACGTGCGAGGTGTTGGCCAGCGGCCAGCACGTCCAGAGGCCGTCGTGGCGCCGGTCGGCGTCCTCGATGAGTATGCTGCAGACGCGCTCGTGCTCGGGGAACAGGGCGCGCACCTTGTCCGGCGGCGCCACGTTGTAGAAGTGGTCGACGCCCAGCTGGGTGCCGGCGATGCGCCAGGCGCAGATGTCGCCCTGGCTGGCGGCAGTGAGCTCACAGTCGAGCTGTACGGTGCCGCCGGGCCGCAGCCAGGCGTCCTGCGGCTCCAGGACGAACACCGAGCTGGTCTCGGCGCCAGAGCCGGCCGCGCCTGTCGAACACAGTCCCGGCGCCTGTCGAACACAGTCCCGGCACATACTGAGCCTCTGTGACGAGTCGTAGTCACATGCCTTTAAACGCGCCTATAGCTCCTGTCAGACATGGTTAACAAGTACAGAAATGCAGCTATTTGCTGTATTTGAAGCCATAAATCTGCCATAAAATTTAGTGGAAGAGCTTTAAAAGAGCTATCGAATGTTTTGTCAACATGTAACTATTCGTTGACGAGGTTTGAGCCAATTTTTCAAAACGTTGTCACGAAATTGGGCTGATTTCACGCTTCAAGACCTCTGATAACCTTATCGTTGACCTTGAAAAAACTGACGTCCTTTTAATATCCGTTAATCGCTTGTTGCTGCGTTAGAAACATATAGGCTTTGAGGGAAAGTGCGTTAAAGGTAGTGTGCCACCTTTGAAAGATTTCCCGTTTTATTTTTCCTAGGATAAGAAGCTTCTGTTTTTACCTAATATCGCAAAAAAAAAACAAAAATGGGCCTGGAATAGTGCCTTTTTCGCCTAAAAGTTTATCGGTTTTTAGATATGTATAACAACTGTAGTGGGCTCACCTGCAAACAGGCGTCGGGCAACAATCGCGAATGCGGCGCACTTGTGACAATAAGCAAAGGTCATTATAGTGTTACGACCATACGACGTACGGGAATGAGTTATCAGCTGTCTAATCGTAGACAACACAATGTCGAGCCTTAAACTGTAAGCCTGTATTGGTATTGTTTCTTAAATTTGGCTGTCGAACATTAATTTGTGGTTTGAAATATGATTTTATGTAAAATAATTGATATGAAACAGCCGTCTCTTAAGTTATGACCCCATTACACCACACGCAAGTGGCAGAAATGACAATGATCAGCTGACGCATTTTTCTTGGCCGAAGTCAGAGCGCGCGGCCCGACGCACCACGCGTATTTGGAAATTCCGACCTCGACGAGCATCAGAAGCCACCTAACAGGCGTGTTCGAAACCGCAGGAGATGATGATGAACGGGTTTATCGAAACTTGATTTGATGAGCCTATCGGTAATAGCGATTTTAGTGTGTGCATTTATTGTTCATAGTGGTGTGAAATGTGGTTGGGGTAGGGGAAAGTGGGGTAAGACGGGCACCTTAACTTTGGAGCCATTTTTCGGCCGGTTAGAAACATCATAGAAACGGGAAACTGAGTGAAAACCTTTTACAGACATTTTACTTCCATTTGCCAGAAGATGAGACTTAGACCTGACTCAACAAATAAACTGCAGCTATTTTTGCAAAACCTTGCAAAAACCCATCTTACCCCACTCCATGGGGTAAGACGGTCACATGGGTAGGGCAAGACGGCCAGCTTCTTTCACCGACCAGCACAGCTCGCAGCAAATGCCCGAGATTAGCCGCATTGATACAGTCGCTCGTTGGTCTCAAGTGCTTCGGAAATGGCAGTATACGAGATTCGTGCAGAAGGCGTATACTCGTATATAGGCCCTAGTTCAGAAGCCATGTAGAGCCGTTTTTCACATTCATTATTCGAGAATAAACTGTGCCGAAGGAATATTGCTAACATGTCTGTGAGTATCGGAATCGAACATATTCTTATCAGAAATGCTTCTTTTTTCCTACAGCAACAAAAATATTTTTACCATTACAGACCCATCGGATTCATAGTTGCCCGTCTTACCCCAAACTCAATGTCAGAAGTTCAGCACGATTTTTCTCTGTGGACAATTTGATGCAGACAAAGCAAATCCGCGGTGAATGAACACTGGAGGCATATGAGTGTGCCACAAGTGATTGCCAGTTTTTAACTCTATAGTGCTGCACACAAAAGCTTGCACAATACATTATGAATGTTTTCAATGAAATGAGTGTTTTAAAGAAATCAAAATAAAAGATTATTGACCGAACACAAATTCACCAGACTTCAATGGCGGTGTGTAGTGGGAAAGGCTATTCTGGTCCTAATTTTTCTCGCTCGTAGCGCTATTGGTTTGGTCTGCAGAGGGGGTGCCCGTCTTACCTACCTTGACCGTCTTACCCCACTTTCCCCTACGACCGACAACCCGTCGGGGCGAATTTCGCACTGGGGTACTCAAAATTTGAAGAATTTAAGACGTTTCCATAAGTTTTGAAGGTATGGATAAGTTCTAAAAATCCGGTTCTCCTTATCCGGGTCATTAACTCCATATGGTCCAAGAAAGCTGGCACACTACCTTTAAGTACTTTTATGGGAATATTACGATGGGATCACGTCCTCGCCCAGGCTGGCGTGATGACAAAAGTAAGCGAACATAATGCCATTGGAGGACATTTAAACATGTCTAAAGTGAATTAAATGCTTCGGCACATCAGCTTACCTGAGGTCAGGACGCAGATCAGAATACTGACGGCGATCGGTGTCTCCATTGTCGCGGACCGGCGCTGCCGCTGCTCCGCCCGCCTCTGGTGCCGAGCTGAGTCTGTGGCTCAGGTGCTGACCGTGAGGCACTGACGGCTCTTACCGGGTCACGCATCACCACTAACGTCTCCCTACGCCTGCACGCGCTCCTATCTTATCGCAAAGATCATGCGAGCGGCGGACACAGTGGGTGGAATGCCGACGAATCCGCACTTAGGGCGTCTTGCTGCACCACTTGAAAAATGATGAAACCAATTCATCCGAACATCCGTTTTGATTATCTTTCAAGTGATTCGCCTACAAACTTGGTCGGAGAATGTCGCAGAGCTTTGTCGGCACGTTCGTAAAAAAAGCACAATCTTTTAGTCGTTAAGGGATCTTGGCGTACTTCAATGATGGACAATGGATAATGGACGCCATTTAATTGCGTCCCAGAAAAGCTATTTCTGGCACCTAAAAGCTGACCCGCCCCAAAATTGGTCCTCAGCACCTATTTGGTGGATACCAGCACCAATCATGGAAAATGACCTTAATTAGCTGTTTCTGGCACCTATTCATCGGTACGCCTTACTTTTTTTTCTGAATCTGGCACCTAAATGCTGAGCGTAGCACCAATCTAGTAGAAAAATGAACTACTGGCTGGTAGAATCATGTTGTTCTGGTATAATGACCCCTGGAGTCTAGCCTAAAGGTTGCCAGTGCAGCTACACTCTAAGACAGCCCCGTAGTGATCTCAGAATTGTATATGACGTTTAAGTAAGCAAATAATATTGATTTGTTTGAAAAAAAACAATGTCAGTTAAATATTTAAAAGTATTTATTTGTAATGCTTAAAAGGAAACATTTTTGTGAGTAATTGTCTCGATTTTGACCATTAAAACGGGTATTGTATTTTTTGACGTCATCAAATAGCTCCAAAAAAGAAATGTAATGTTTTCATTCCGTTCAAGGCCGCTGAAGAAACGCGGGATCTTGCGTGGGACCAAGGCTATAGAACTCCAGGTAAGGACACCAGCCGTTTGACCTTGATCGCCGCCGGCCGGCCGATGACGTCATTGGAGGCAAGCCGGCTCGGCGGACACACAAGGCGAATGCATAACGGAGGGGCGTTGGAACGTTGCGGGAGCCGGGGAGATATTTTAATGTGGTTGCATACCACCATTTTTATGTTGATTGATCTACAGACTGCATTCTTTTAAACCTCGATGCATCCTAGGCCTGGATGGTGCGTACATTCGTGGAACGATCACCCCGTCCGACGTCCGTGGTCGAAGATGTCATAGTATTAAAGACACTAAGACGGGTGCAATGACGGCGATCCGATCCCGTCTCTGGCGAATCTAGAAGGGTCGTAAGGACCCAGGCCGAATCTGACCGTCTATTTTTAGGGAAACGGGGTGGGTGAATTGACAACCCATGGCTTAAGAGATGATAAGGGATCCTGTCGTCGATTGTTGTTTGACAGACAACACATGTTGTACTGGGCGTATGACCATCATCAGAGGTAATGCCTGAACGTAGGCAAGCATAATTGTTCTGTCATACTGTTTAGGAATATAAAATGGTAATGGAGATCATTGAGGATATGATCTCTACATTACGGGAAGGAATTCACTAATTACTACGGCCCATTGGGGCACCGCCGGAGCTGTTGTTTTGCCATCGGTCCCAGGCAACTCCAGGGAGCTGCAGTACCCGGCGGCCAAAGCGGCCACCTCGTCGACTCGCAGGTCCTGTGGGATTCCGTGATGCTTTAATGCGCGTATAGTTACATCATATTCACATTCAGATTCACATTCAGATTCGTTCCGAATATCGATCATTTTCATCGATATTCAGATTCGTCCCGAATATCGATCATTTTCATCGATATTCGCGGCGCGCATGCGCACTGCCAATATCGATGACCTTGAATGCACATTCACATTCGTTCCGAATATCGATCAGTTTCATCGACATTCACACTGGCGGCGCGCATGCGCACTGCGAATATCGATGACCTTGAATGCACATTCACATTCGCGTTCCGAATATCGATCAGTTTCATCGACATTCAGGTTGGCGGTGCGCATGCGCGCTGCGAATATCGATGACCTTGAATGCACATTCACATTCGCTGCGCGCATGCGCACTGCGAATATCGATGACCTTGAGTGCACATTCAGATTCAGCGGAGGGGGAGGAGGGGGGGGGGGTATCAATTCCCGCGGCATAGGCGGCGGAACGGGGAGGGCACCGGGAGTTTCTTACATGCGCAGGGGCGTTTCCAGAGCCTAGTTCTTGGAGGCACTTTTCGCCAGACTTCGACTTTTCCGATATTTACCGGTAGAGAACGTTTTTAGCCGCGCGTTAGCAATGGTATTTTGCGGCACAATTCTGTTATCAATTTGAAATCCTTTGTATGTCTTCTAAACTACAAATGCATTCAAGCGATGACGTTTGATTTTGTTTGTTAATTTTTGTGGTAGGTAAATCAGGAGCTGCGTGCGGCCGCGAAACAGCTCGTTTTGTGTGCCTCCAGCACCTCGGTACATCTGGCTTCAATCAAAAGAAAGGAACTGCAACGTAGTTACATATATTGTATCTATCATAGCACCGGACACAGCCGGCCAACAGGCGCGAGCAGCACACGCTCCCTAGCAACTTAATACTGGGTCAGCGGCGACAGAGCCGGCCGTGAGATCACGCAGCGTCGCCAGCCGCGCCAGGAACTCAACAGAACAGTGTACGGGGCCAGCAGCAGCCGCTCCGCCCCGCCCCGCCGCGCGGGTCGCAACTGTCCCACCCCGTGAGCACGTGGGGGCCTCCTCTGACGCCGCAGGGAACACACGATCCCTCCAAGACACAGGTGCAGACAGGCACTGGGGTATCCGCACGCTGTCCATGTGGACTCGAACGGGCATCCAAACTGGAGGTCCAGGCCGACCGACTCCAATCGCCCTAGCGACTACACGCGACATTGGATCCTGCCCGCCGCGCCGGTAGATGTTAGCAGCGGGCAGACTCCACCGCGCAACCCACTCTGTAGCCCAGGGGGCCCGGGGTTCGCCCCATGACCGGAGCACGCCGCCGTCACGAACTACAGCCGCGCGCTTCCGCCGCCGGAGGCGCTGGCGGCGGTGCGGCAGCCGTTAGAAGCTCTGCGCGACGTGACGGAGCGCCGATGACGACGACGGCGCGGTGTGCGTGATGAAGCAGATGAGACGGGTGGGCACTGGGCAGCACTCCGGCGTTCAGCTGGTAAAACTCCACCAGCTGGATGACGTCGTACAGTATGTCTAAAAAGAATGTACCGTCGCCACTACGTGGCGCTGGTGTCGCGAGCCGGTAGTTGGCTGAATCCGCACCAGACCACACATTCCCAAGCGCTAGGTGACAGCTGCGCAGTGCGCGGCCGGTAGTAGCGTAAGCCCGAACCTTCGTGACACGACCCCGGGGCCCGGGGGGGGGGAGGGAGAGAGGGAGGGGAGCGGGCGGGGCAGCGCGTGCAGGGAGGGGTGCTCCGGCAAGCTGGCAGTTGTCGCGGCCAAAGGTCAAGGGGTCACACACCAAGCGAACGGACGCTGATGTGGGTTCGTGGGGATCGTGAACTTGTGTGTGGTAGGTGCGTCTTGCGATGCACGGGTGATACGCCATGGGTCTAAGCCAAATGATTCGGGGGAGAGTTGAAGAAAAATACCTGGTCAACTACGGCGAATAATGGTACTGAAAAATGGAAAGCATGGGTCAATGCAAGCCTTCATGACTATAAACTTTTCTGAGGGCGCAAAGGCCAGCATTGAATAACGACATCCGGATCGAAATTAGCAATGATTTATAATTACATGCCGAAGTAATAACGCTGCAAAACCCACCTAGTAAATTGTCAAGTCGGATTCATACCGACTTGAATTAAACTATCCTAAATTAAACTGTATATAAGATCTCTATGCTTTGACCAGCTTCGTGACCTGACGGGCTGTGACCTGACCTTGACCCGAGGTTAACACCTTAACTTGATCTCACCCGAAGAAAAAGTATACCATTCGACACGCCTGAGCTAGACAAACACGATGCTGCTAAAATCGCGGATCTGCGATCATGTTTAGCGAAGTTATTTACCAAAAACCGAACCTGTGCCTTGGGCCACTTGACCTAACCTCAGAAGTCATCGGCTGATCCTAGTCCTTAAAATCGGAGACCAATCGCTGCATTTCGTAACGACGCGCACGATCGTTTCTTTCGTGAGGCTCTAGCTCATTAACCCGCGAGTTGCTGGGGGGGGGGGCGTTAAACGCCCCCACTTTTTTCGCCGGGCCATAGCATAAAAACGGCGCGCCGCAGGCGCCAAATTTTGGGTACCTGTAGAGAATTGATTGAAGTTTATTGTGACAAAGTTTGAAAAAAATCGGTCGGAAAATTTTTGAGATATCGAGGTTTTAGTGACGTCATGATTTCTGAGTTTTTGACCAAAAACGGCATATGTTCAAAAAATCCTATAAAATCACAGAATAGACATACAGACATGCCGTAAACGCCATTAGACTGCCAATACCATGATGAATCAAATGGCTATCTTCGATTATTGATTATCGTTCCGCATTTTCCATAATCTTGAACTGAATCTTGACAATTTCTCGTAACTACTTCACGACCATGATGCATGAATTTCTTAAATTGAACTTTTTGAGCCAAACACGTACACATATGATAAAATGAATGTCACCATCGTGTTCTACGCCCCAAAATACCCATAAAACATGTGTCACAGGCTGCGAATATCAGTTTTGATTTTCGGGGATAGGGTAACTGTGGGGAAGACGCACCCCTGGGTTAAACGCCTTCCCTAAAAAAATCGTATTTCTTATCGACGGATAGGTGTTTTATCCTGTCTTTCAGAACAGTCAGCTGCTTGTTTACGTAGGTCTCTATTTCCGGTTCTGCGTCTTGAGGAGCAGCGTGGGTAGGTGCTGATGTTGGTTTTGGGTGTTGTTTTTGTTGTTTTTACAGAAGATTCCTAATATTTTGATGCCCTCTTTATATCACAAAACTTGCTATTGTGCATATCATTCAAAACTGCGTTTTATTGTCATTCTGTTGAACGTATTATGCTGCGGCGTTAGTGGCGCGTTTTTTGTCAATATTTTGTTGACCGGAAATGGAGTGGATGGGGCAAGACGCCTACTCGATGCATGGGGCAAGACGCCCCCAGTTTTCTGAAAGGGGGTGGGGGCGTTTTGCACGGTGGTGAGAGTGCAGGGTAGCGCCCTGTAGGTCGGGGCCGAAAAGGCCTCTCCCTGTCCTTTTTTAATGATATATCCTAAACGACTGCAGATATCGTCACCAAACTTTCAGGACTCCTCCGGGCATCAATTTTACACATTGCAACAAAATTTCATCCCAAAGGCTATGATAGGTTGACCACAAATGACGTCAGAATGACGT